TGATTTGTGTTTATCTGACTGTGTTCATTATTATTCCTCCACTAAATGACAAAAAGTCAGAATTTATTATTATCTAGAGGAGAAATGCAGCTCCAGACGAGCTTTGAATGTGATGATGTCATCAGTACACTTCTGATGACATGGACAGGAGAGTCCAAACTTTCCTGTGTTCATTCAAGAACAGACTTGGAGAGGACATGAGTCCTTACTCGCATTCTAGTGAATTGAGAAACATTCATGTCTGTCTAAGGGTAAGGACCTGTTTAAACCAGTTCAGACTGGTTCTAGTTGGACCGAACTGGATAAAGAACATCTTTTCTGTTCAAAGAGACTCCAGCTAAAGAGAGTCCTTTAATTTAGCTGGTTTAAGATTTCCTTTAACTGGATTTAGCTGGTTTTAACTAGATTTAACTGGAAAAAAAAACACATTTTGGTTCTGTTTTTGTAGGAATCAGCCTTGGAAAGAATTAGATCCAACAGGGTGAAGGCCGCAGAAATCTGATCTTTTTTCGCCGACAGCCCAAAATGCCCCTGAACATAAATCAGAGATAAAGACCAGGATAACTGTCCTTCCTCTATTCTGTTTGTTGTTTTCTCGTTGTGCCTCGTTGGACCAGACTCCATGTTTCAGACCGTTTCCATGATTTGTTCTTTTCTGGATCCGGTCCACGTTGGACCGGATCTCTAGATTAGTCGTTCCAACTCACCCTCAGGGATTTGTGGAGCTCCTGTTGGCGGATCGTCTTTGTCGCCTCAGGAACCTCCTTCTGAGCACGTGCGGCTTCGAGACGCTTCATCGCCCTGAGGGACCAATCACAGCAAAGTGTTGTACGGGTTAACCAATAAAGGTTACCTCATGCTGGGAGGCACTGCTTAACGTCCATGAAGCAATAAAGAACATCTGACTACAGCAGAACCATGATGACACACCGTGGTAGAGAGTATCTGGCCAACCACAGGCGAGCGTCTCTCAGGGAGGAGGGGCCTTCATGGTACCATGTCTGGTGGCACTATGATTGGTTAGAGAGAGAACTGAGATTTATGACAGGTTTCTGAATACTACAAGTTCATGCTTCCTGATACATAAAGAACCGCAGTACGCGGCCATCTGCGTAAATACAGAGAACTACAGGATGTTATAATAGTTCTACAGATTATTACGAGGCTAGCAGTAACATTTCTGACCTCATCATGGGACCTTTTGGCTCTTTCCTCGTCTTTCCTGGACTTCTTCAGAGCATCTGGACCGACCACGGACAAAACGCTTCGCAGCCTGAAAATAGTCGGTAAACGAGGCTTATGATTGGTCGACCGTCAACCAATCCCAGCACAGTAAGCACTTCAATGAACAGGGTGTAGAAAGGTCCGCCCCTCCCACCTCTCACGGCGATCAGCCGGGCCCTCTCCGAACAACGTGATCGGCTCCCCCAGCGCTCGGAGGCCTGCTTTAACCTCCGCGTCGTCGGTGGATACGGTGATCTGCCGGGCTCGCCGGCGCCGCTCAAACTCGGCGAGTGCTTCCTGCTGCCGCTCGCTGACCCGTTCCTCCATCTCCATGGTCTCTCCTGCAGGGAAACATGGAAGCTGAGTAAACCTCCCTGGAACAACAGCTTTACGACAGTAGCTACCGCCATCCTGTGGTCAAACATTCCAGTTAGTAGACTTTACAGTACTTGGGTCTGTCTGGTTCTATTTAACGTTGGGTCTAATCTTACTTTGCAAACTGGAAAACTGATAAATCAGAGCAAACAAAGATCTACTG